GCTTCTCTGAAGTGCCTTGTGAAAGCCTAACACTGTAAGATCGTATTTTGTAACTTAGCACGCTTTCAAATTATGCCCACCTGACCAGATTGTGATTTATAATGGACAGTTTTTGGAATGGGTAAACAGCAGTAATTGTGTAAAGGCAGGGATGCAGGGCTGTGTTCCAAAGAAAACAACTACAAGTCTGCTTGCTCTAGTACCTCAACGGCACAGCTAGGAGAGCTCAAAATAGCACCTTATAGTTGAAGACTATTTATTGAGTTGAAACGACATAGGACCTGTTCACACTTTGGAGAGGTGTGTGGACACTTGGAGACACCAGTTAGACCTCTCACTCAAACCCTTGTTATTTTTTTGACTTATGTTGAACCTACCCCATATTTTCCAAGAATATTTTTGTGTTACTGAATGTATCCAGATTATTTTAAGATTTCGTTATCAACAAATGCAGTGAAAAGTACAGTAAATGTAAAATTCACATAAAATCAGCAGTATAATGTTTGGATTCAGTCTTGAGTCAGATTATCTGTTTTGTCCTCACCTTTAGTCTAATAATTTCCCCATTAAATCCAAACTGTTCCCTTTTGATTGCTACAATGGTTATGCATTTCCATATTTATTCTGTAAGAAACATTTCAATTTAGCCCTATCCATATAGGCCAATTTCCATGAGTGTAAGGGGTTAACACAGTGATTATTCCTTTTGAACAATAATCTGCCTACTTACTAAAAGAGTGAATGACTAACACAGACATACAGTATGTATAGGGCCCTGGGTTTTTCCTAATCATGAAAAGCCAATCACTAGGGTCCAGAGTTTTTCCTGGTCAGGTTACATGGGCCCTATTTATTTATATTATGGTGACTGGGTTACAGTTCGGACAGGAAGTTACCGTTAATGACTTCCTGTCTCTTGATCTCGTGGGGCCTGAGTCCGGCCAGCACCTCTCGTCCCACCAGCTGCTGCCAGTTGAGGGGGTCGTGCTCAGAGTCCGTGCCTCCTTGGTCGTCTTCACTCTGCACCTCTGTAGAGCCAAGGCCATCCAACCTTGGAGATAGGCAGCAGCAGATAAACACTGGTTACAACCTTAAATACACTATCTGACTAAGATAAATGGAGTCACGAAATATAACAGAAGATGTTAGGAAATATCTAAAAACTCATACAGTTTCTAACCACAGCACTTCTGATAAAGGTAGTCCACATTTTGTCCGAAGAGGTTTAGGACACTGACTAAAAACTCAAATAAACTATCTGACCATTGCCTTTATCAGAAGTAGTAGTAGGCCAAGTAAAGAAAATAGAACAGACAATACTCACCTTCTGATAGCCTTGGGTGTACCTTCAAGAATTCTGTAACAAGAGGAAACTATTAACTACTCTGCCTGCATGACAAAGCTCCACATACTCGTCAAGATGTACTCTGCCTGCATGAAACAACTACGATGTCAAACCTAAAACAACGGTCCACAATAGGGGTAAAAAAAAAACATTTCAAGGGCTGACTGGAAAAAACTGTTATATCAACTGGAATGGAATTGCATATTATATACAGAGGGTAGATAAAACATGTCTAATGCCACCCTATTCCCTATTTAGTACACTACTTTTGACTGGGCCCATAGGCCCTATGCTTTCCCCTGCTTGGGGTCCATCTTACCCGCTCTCCCTGTCCTCCTCCTGTAGCTGGTCCAGGCTGTAGGGGCTCAGGCTGTAGTCAAAGTGTGTGTTTGGAGTGTACTGTAGACTGTCCAGGTCTCCGAGACCCTCACTCAGTTTGGGGAAGGCAGAGTTAGGGGTCCCAACTGAGGAGAAGAGAGACAGAGACAGAGAGAGAAAGAGAGAGATCAGTTACACTGTACAACTATCAGGCCAGATGGGAAGACCATTACTCCAGCTTAGAGTGGGGACGATAAACTTAAAATTGCCTTCCTCTTACCAAAGCATTTTGCTTACGTCGGTCATTTTCTGTGATTTTGCTAAACAACGTTCCTGTAGATTATTCTAAAACCATTATTTGGTCGACAGTAATAGCCTATGCATTATGTTGATTCCTAATATGAAAGTATCTGTCTGTCCCAGTTCGCTGTTGGCTGATGACTCACTCCTTCTCCCCGCTGTGCACACCTAGGGAGAGATGCATTCTGAGAGACCGTTGCTCAAAATGCTATTGCAGGGAAAATACCGTTTTCAAAGCAACTACTGTTGTTCTAGTTACAGAGAGGAGAGTCATAACTTTCTGTGAATATATTATGTATTTCTCGCCTCTTAATATTGAGTTCATGGCACCACTTTACAACCGGAGTAGGCTGTAGAGCATTATGGTTTTGATGCGCCGCGGAGTGGAGCCGAGTGCGCCATTTGCTGTGTTTTTGTCGGACATTAGCCTACATTTACTGATTCCCACTTCCTCAGGTGGTGAATAATATACTGTAGCTTATAGGCCAATATGCACAAAGATGTCAGCAAATTCTCTGAAGAGCCAAAACTAAATCTGATAATTCTGGATCCTATTTTGACAGGTTGCACATCAAAATATAAATCATGCATTTTCTGGATATGTTAGATCAAATAGCTTAATTTTTTTATCATATGTTACCATCTCATTTGTCTTATTTGGCACTGGTAAAAAAAAAAAATCCACTAATGTAAAGTAATTGTCCATAATAAAATAAAACATCATTGTATTTGTTATTATCGAGCAAAATAGTTACATTTATTGTGATATTACTTTTTGTCCATATCTCCCATATCTAGCACCTCCCCCCAAATGTGTTTTCATCAGAGTTTATCGCTGATTTATCGTCCAGCACTACTACAGCTACAATGACTTCAAAATAATAGGCAACATCGACAGCTAACAATTAGGACATAAAACCAAATACAAAGTGACAGAGATGATGTCGGGATTCAGGAATTTAGTTAAAGAGGGGAGCGTAATTGGATTTAGTATGCAGTCTAGAGACTAGGGTACTTGGTTTAGAATTGAGTATGTGGGAAGTGTGTTAGCTAGAGAGTATAGTAGGTATGTACTAGCTAGAGTCTAGTACAGTATGTGGTAGTTCAGGGTCGCACCAAACACAGTCTCTCTGATGCCTCCGTCAGAGGTGTGGCTGTTGGGGGTGCTGTTGGGTGGTGAGGTGGCGTTGGTCGAGGAGGAATGTGAGAGCTCAGAGCCCTCGCTGGACTGACTGGCCCTCAGGCGACCCGCCTCCAGGTGCTCCAGGGCCCCCAGGCAGGGCTGGGACAGCTGCTTCTGGGGCCGCGGCTTGTTGAGGTCCATGGCCTTGCCGACTGCTCACACAGACAGGCAGACAATCAGTCAGAGAGACAGGCAGGAAGCACACAGACAGACACAAAGAGAGGTAGCAGGAGTCAATACTATTGGATAAGTTTACTTTCCTGTCAGTCCTCCATTTCTCCATAGTAACAAGATGATTTGTTTTGAATGTGGGTGATATGTGGGTAATCTACCAATACCAAGTGCCTCTCCAGGGGTTCAGTAAATTGGGAGACCTAGTAGTAGTATAGTAGTGTTGGTCACTGTTGGTTTATCTTAAATGACAAAATGAAAGCCAGTGTGCTTTATAACGCAGACAGGCTCACCTGACGTTGGGTCAACGCGGCTGGGCCGGCGCGGAGGCCCGAGGATGCTGGGAAACCTGGTTCGTTTCACCTTCTCCTCCCCTCCCTCCTTCTCGGTCTTGACGCTCTTCTGTTGATCACAGACATCACATGATCAGTCAGTAAGAGAGATATAGTTGGGGTGAGAGTTAATAACCAAGCTAGGTTAGCAGAGGGTTCAGTGTAAGGTAAGGCTCATACCTTGATCTTGGGGAGGAAGTTGATGCGGACCCATTTGGACTCTAGGCCGCGTGGCTCTTTGACTTTCACGCCAAGGTGCTTCATGTACGTGAGGATGACATACTGCATTGTAGTGCTGCAACAACAGACCAATGAGGATTCAGGATTTAGAGACCAAAATTCAATTGCCATATTCTCAGTTTTATATAAGTGGAACAGATTGGGATTCATTTGAAGTGAACTACATGTTGAAGTGTCTTTAGTGTGGCTTTGACCATATGCT